GTTCCTGTTCTCCTGGATCATGTTCTGAGTATATTTAAATCTAAATTTAATTTAGCTCCTCAGTCTGAGACAAAAATGTGATACAGTTGCAATTTAGGCAAATGACGTTTGCATGAATAACACCAGTGTATGCAGCACCAAGGAAATAATTCTGCTGCTCTATTTACCACAGGTTACACCTGCTAACATACCATGTCCAGCTTAGATCACCACATAATAAACAGGATAACAGTAAGTTAGAATAAGTCAGAGGAGACCAAGAATATAAAACTGGCATAGAAACTATGAACAACGGAGAAAGATAAGGGGCTTTCTCATACATCAGATTTAGATTGCCTTTGAACCTCTCTCACACAGTTTATGATAACATCTGTTGTTTGTACATCAGAGGAGAACCACTGCCAGTCAATGCCAAAAAAGTGAATCATTTGAACCCATGGTTCAAGGAAGCTTCCTATGTTCCTAGGAGGAATGAAAGAGGCATTCGTAATGCAAATAAGCATTCTTGCCAATGTAGACTTTATATTCACATCACAAACTCAACTGAAACAACAGTTCCTTTATGACTCCTACATGATAATGCCCTAAGGGTACAAATACAGAGCTACAAATACCTTAAAGGATGACGAAAAGGTAGGAAGCATTAAGAAATTTTTCCTAACTGCTGGTCAATGGAACAGATTGTCCAGAAACATTATGAAATCTTATTTCCTGGAGGTTTTAATAAAAGACAGTGTAGTGTTCATCGGCCCTGTGCAGATATAATGCTCTGAATTCCTTAACCATAATTCATCAGTTAGGAGAAGGTTGTGGGATCACACACAGACAATGTGTTTTATCCTGATATTTCTTCAGAGGGATCTGGAATCTGATATAAGTATATCAAGGCCAACCATGTTTCCCTCAGTCCCAACTGGGTAATGTATAACATGGTTTCTTTGAATCCACTTGTGTGGTGGCTGGTATCTGAAGTGCTGGAACACATACTGAATGATCCAGATGACTTTAAGCGCATGAAACAAATTTGCCTGAAACTTTTATACTCCTATTTTTATATATAGATGCAAATTTAGACTGCTTTTCAGAGGGGAGAAAACAAAGAATGGCTCTTGCGTGTATGGCATGCTAATAGGATTTTCTGGACCCAGTGCACTGTAAGTGGATTGAGTCCTCCACTCCACCCCCCAGTCAGTTGGCAAGAACTGCATCATATGTATGGATTGCAACTGAAGCAAGTCCTGTACTACATGACACTCCTCCTCCCCCCCACCTCTCTCACCACCACCCCTTCGCCACCCTATCCAGCTGTTCTAGCTTAGGCAGTGGTTCTGGCCAGCGACAAGGTTCTAGTGGTGTATGTGTGCTAAGCACAGAGTCCAGAGACACCATATGACCTTATGCTAGTATCAATTAAGAATCCAGGAAGCAAAGTCAGATCAAGAAAAGTCAAGTGCCATCAAGGCATGGTCAGACAAAGAAGAGAGTAGGTTCCAATAAGTGAGATCAAGCAAAGCAGAGGTTAAGATCTAAAGGAAAACAAGCAAGGTGGGTAGCACTCTGGATAGCTCCAAACAGTGCCTAGGCTGGAAGTCATACAAAGTAGACTTGAATACTGCTCCAACAACCAGCAAACCCACACTGAGTCTCAAACAGGACTACAGCTTCCTCTGAGGAGCTAATCCCACCCATTATTAGTGAAGTGCCTTATTCTTAAATGGCCCAGCCTGTTGTAGAAGCTACTGACTCCAACAGTTTGGTGGAGGCTGGGCTTCCACCGTGATTACTGAGCTGGAGTCCTCAGAGTCTGAAGAAGGCAATATGACCTCTTCAGGCTGGAAAGACATTGGTATCAAGGGGCCTTTTGGTGCTGAGACCTCTGAGGAAGCAATGATATCAAAGGCTGGTTCAGAGGGCAAATCTTCCTCCCAGTCCAAGTTGTCCTCTGAATCCCCAGCAACTTCCCTCAACGATAGGGACTCAGAGCCCTGGGTTATGATACCAGCAATTATCTGGGCAAATTAAGATGGGGGGTATCTGTTGTGGGTCTCATCGACACTATGCTTTGCAATGTGCTCAGCCACCCTTTAAGCACAGAGTTGTTTTAAAAAGAGGGGAGAGACAGGAGATCCAGGAACTGGTTTGCCACCCCCTAACAGCAGCCCTGCTGATTCCCCTGTAAGGACTAAGCCAGCTGTCCGCTTAAGAAAACCTTTGCAGCCTGCTATCATGGATCTACAGTTTTAGGTTTACTAATTCACGTGTTTCACAAGCCAAGCACATTCTGCTTATATAAAGTAGAACCACAATACTAAACATCTGGGCATAGCATAATTTATACATTCAAGCTGACTTTGGGCCACAAGAAATTAGCTCTGTAGCACTTCTCAACACAAAGAGCATTTCTTGAACGATTGTTAAGATTTGAGCATTACAATACTAAATTATTCCTAAACCCCAACAGGAATCTCACGCCACCACCCACGGAAGAACTAAACTGCAGGAATTCACAGTTACCATTATTCACCCCTTTCCTTCCTCCTCGCAGAGAAAGGAGTACAGCTGTGTACCTTGCAAGATCATCCTTATCTCATCCCCTTTGCTTGCTCCTCTTCCCACCAGTCCAAGAGATGTGCATGCTAGGCATCCACTAGTTCTCCTTCCCCTGGCAACTAGATATCAAACCTGCAACCACCCAGAATTCCAGATGTGTGCCAATGAGGCTCTCAGGTGAGTTTACTTTAGGGTTCCACCTAACAATTCACCATAAGCAGTACAACATTCCTAATCTTCACATTCCCATAACTGCTTTCCATGACAAGCAATCTAATCTGACACTTTCTGTTGTTTATAACCCTAATTTGAAATATATTACTTGGAAATTAGGTCTATGGAAATCTGTGGGATATATTAGCATTTAAAATCAATGTACTAAGAATTGAACTGATTCTTATTATGCCACTTACTAAAACATTTCAAAGTAAGAGGAGAAAAAAGAAGCAAGACCAAAATATTACTGTTGTAGCTCTTCCTCTGTCAGTTCTTCTTGCCTTTGTTCCCCAGTCACCATGGCCAGTTCATTTCTTAGGTCCTGAACTTCCTTCTTTAGTCGTGCTATTATCTGCAACAATGAAACAGGTGTCACTTATCGGCTGAATTTAAAGTTATGATTAAGAACTTTGTTGGGAATCCTCTCTCATTTTGTACAATTTTTCATGCTTTTATTTTGTCAAACATGAAGTAGATGACAGACTGAACCTTTCAAAACTGAACTGATTTCTTAAATTAATTTGAATTCCTGAAAAATGCTAGGTATAAATAACAACCAAAATTCCTTACCAGTCTGGGGTCAATTTCTTCATTTAGAATGGCTTCATTCTTAATAAGGGCAACTCGCTGAGCAAATCTACAAGTTGATATTGATTCCTAAATGTAAAAAAAAATATTCTTAACATGCAATTATGGACAAGTAAGTGTGCTATATAATTAATAAACTAAATCAGCAATCTTTAAAACCAGGCTTCCTCAAACTTGGCCCTCCAGATGTTTTTGGCCTTCAACTCCCTTGATCCCTAGCTAGCAGGACCAGTCATCGGGGATGATGAGAATTGTAGTCTCAAAACATCTGGAGACCTGCGCTTGAGGAAGCCTGTTTAAAACAGACAACAGTCTTCAAATTCAATGTTCACAGAATAGCAGCAAAATAAACACTTGAAGTTCTCCAGTCTCTGAAATCCAAACTGAAGATGGAACTAAATAGTGTCAAACAGATTTGGCAAAATGCAGCAGAAGAAACCAATACAAGTGATTTCCGGCATCTGCGTCTGCACAGACGCGATTTCCGGTGCCGTGAAAGTGAGTCCTGGCGCCGCACTGTGCCAGTTTAGCGCAGCGCATGGGGACTCGCCAAGCGGGTGGCTCGGTTCGGGGGTGGCTCGTGGGCCGGTTAAATGACCCCTGTGGGCTGCTTGTGGCCCATGAGCCTTAGGTTGCCTACCCCTGCCCTAAGCCATTGTATGGCTTAGTGTTGCATGAGAACCAGCTTAATATAGGGTTCAAAATATAGGGTTTACCAACTACTCTGGCAGTGTTGCATCACTTCGCAAACTAGGGTTTCGGGTAGAATTAAATCCATCGGCTTATAAAACATATTTGAATGAAATTTAATGGATAAATTTAAAATACTAACTCTTGGACAGCAAATTATAATAAAAACTGAGAGGACATACATCTATGTTCCTTTTGTCTATTGAGAGTGTCGCAATCATTGTGGTCATACAGTTCCCTCCTAGGCTGTCTCTTAGCACCGAGGTCATCATAGAATTCCTGTAGGGAATATGAGACCTATTCTTCTCCGACAGAGCAATGATTACCTGCAATAAGAACAGAAATGGAAACTCTTAGAACTCTGGTTTTGCTCTTGAATATTTGGACTAGTCACTCTAATACTGGAAACAATTACTTTAAAACTGAGAATTTTACCGACTGTAACAGTGGCATACATTAGCAAATGTGAGACACTTTGGCTCATCAAGACTCACTCCAGTAGTGGATCAGCATAGACACTATTACAGTGGTACCATCTGTGACACTATTAATTTATTAGTTTTTTTACCCTGCATTTTGGCACCAAAGGAGGAGCCCAGGCCTACAGATCACTTAAACAATAGCATTAGTATACCAGCCAAAGAAAAACCTTCAACTTTCCTGCAGTGACTCTTTGTAAAGTCACAGAAATGGCACAGGATCGACAAGGAGCTGCCAGTGTGGTGCCTTCCATATGTTGCTGGCTTTCTATTCCAATAATTCCTGGCCATTGGTCACACTTGCTGGGGCTAATGGAAGATGAAGTCCAACAATATCTGGGGGGCATCATACTGGCTATCCCTTGGCTAGATCATGGAGCTGCTAGAGCTTTGAAGCATTGCCCATTTCTTCCTTGCTTCGGCCAACACTTTTTGTTTCAATTGCCTCAGTGAATGAGCGGGATGAGTTCCCTCTGAATGCTGCATGATCCGATTTCTGCTTTTTTCCCCTTTGCAGCCTCTGTGTAGTCCTAGAAAGGACATGGTGCTGTTACCCAACAGCAGAATCTCCAGGACTGGGAAATATTTTGCACTACTGCCTTGTTCATATCAGATCTTTTCCCCACAACATGCACTGTATAATGTTTGACAAAGGTTAGTAGAGAGGACTACATAGAAGCTGGTGGACATCTGGCATTAAGACCCTTTCATCTAATGCTACTGAAGATGCTTGAGCACATGGAATTGTAGAAAACACTTGCATTAGCAAATGACATTGTCACCTCATTGCTGGATAACAGAAACAGACTGTAGTTATGATCCACCAAGAAACTGTCCAAGAAGAAGCAGGGAGTCCTTGTTTTCCACTGCAAAGTAGTATTTAATTAAGAGGTGTGTTGTAAATCAAAATTAAGAGCACTTTTAATATTCAATAAGCACAAAATATGCTGTTTCAAGTTTATACTTAGTGATTTCAAAGTTCAGTTTTAAGCAGGTTATAGCATTTATCTTCAAGTCACTGTTAAGTGCCAAATCTTAACTCATCAATCAAAGGAGGTACTTAAAATGTGCTATAAACTGCAACCATCAACATCAGTTTTTTATCTGGCTTGATCTTCAGTTTCTTTGCCTTCACCTCGGTCCATCACACACTCCAGACACTACACTTATGTTGCTGCTGTCTAAAAATGAGATATGCTGGTAGAATCATTAGGGTTGGGGATGTTTATTCAACATGTGGTTAGTCCAAAAGCAACAATTTGGCTACAGAAGGCAAAGTAAACTTTTTGCAAAGATTTCTCAGTTATAGTTATAGTTATAGTAAATCTAAATGTTCTACTTTAAATTCCCATATGCCAAAGGGGGGGAAAGGTGTTAGGCACATAGTTAAACAAAGTACATTGTCCATTTCTTTCAGTTCTGACAACTTTTCTCCTTGAATGTCTGACATATACTCAGTTTCTGTGGCTTACAAATATGTTAAAGAAACTTTCAGGGAGAGAACACTGTGTTTATGAGCACTCCAAAATCAACAAAGCCTTCCATTGCTATTAGTATTTGCAGGGCTATGAAACAATACTCCATAGTGAAATCTGTAAAAAAACAAAAAACTGTAGTCTGGCAGGTGTGATGCTTTTCTCTTTTAGCAGAACACTAGGGCTAATGGATAATGTTTTTCAAACTATTTTAATACAGTAGCAATAAAGTCACAGTAGTAATAATTTATCCACAGGTTATTAATACAACACTCATGTGCTTCTAGGTAGAGATCCTGGAGTTAAAGACCAAAGAAAAAGTGTAAAGAGTATCATAATGGGGAAAGATTAGTACAGTGGTACCTTGGTTTACAAACTCAATCTGTTCTGGAAGTCTGTTCTTAAAGCAAGGCTTTCTTAAAACAAGGCGTGCTTCCCCATAGCAGTGGGGGACTCAATTTACAAATGAAACACACTCAACATGTTCTGCTTCCAAGGCAAAGTTCACAAACCAAAACACCTACTTCCGGGTTTGCAGTGTTCTTAATCCAAGTTGTTCATAAACTAAGCTGTTCTTAAACCAAGGTACCACTGTACTAAACACGTGAAATGCTAAGGCAGAAAAGTGTATATATTGGCTGTATAATTCAATAGCTGGGATAAAATCCACGATGGCTTTGTTAGGCTTTCCATGAAATACACCTGCCTTTCTTTGGTCACGGAACACAAAACATTACTACATACTGCATTTCAACAGCTGCCATTGAAATTGTGTTTAAGAAGGAAGTTCTATTAAAAGGTACAGTGCAGTAAAATGGTATAAGGAAAATTATGTTCTCCATGCTATTACCTCAAATAAACTACGCTGGGAGACATTATACTCCTTCTCTGAATCAAATGATTAGCCATAATGCCAAGTGAAATGGAACATGAACATTCTAAAAGCAAACTACTACAACAAACTAATAACAAAATGAAGAACTGACGTCAACCATACCTGTTCCAAGTAATGTAATGACAGATTGATATATTTGGCTTCTGTCAGCAACTGGCCTCCAACTCCAGTCTTTGCAACACGCTCTGAACCAGCCAGATCCACTAAATGTAGTTTGGAGCGTCGAATGGTTGCAGAACCTGGCTCTTTGCTTGAGATGTGAATGGTGAAAATACAATGTGAACGAGTGGAGGCTTGATTCATTGGAGTCTGTGAGACAAAGAATTTAATAAAACTCAGCTGCAGCCAACTGAGATGCTTACAAAGTAAGGGGGATAGATATCTCCTGATCATATATAAAATATAAATGTGACTAAGTTAAAAACGCAGGGCAAGAAGATACATTCAAACACATTGGATCAGACCCAGGTTTCATCAAGTCTAGCTTTCCCACAGTGACTAGCTAGAGGTTCCCAAGAGACAAGACGGGCATGAATGCAATAACTCTGCCCAATGCTCTCGTCCCCAGCACCAAGAATTCAGTCCATACTGTCTTTGTATATGGTGGTGATGAGTCTCAATCAAAATGTTTATTCGGCTTTACGCCCATCATAAAGCACAACACACAAAACAAATCAAATAAAACAGCGGTCTCGTACAAGCCACAAGTAATATAACACAATTCACAGCTCACAAGGACAAATATTGGCAAATCAAAACAGAAATTTAAGATTAAAGTTAAAAATTTAGGCACTACGCTAAAATCAATATCTGATGTCAATATCAAAAATTCTTATAACTATCAATAATCAGCTAACATTCCATTCCGTCTCTTGTACGAGAGAACGGCTGTTAGGAATTTAGCAACCTGTAGAGTAATATAAGGATCTGCATCTTGAAGAACCCAGGCAAGCTGTAGGTCTACTGGTTTGTCAGCCATAGGCTGGATTATGGAGTTTAGTATACTAGCGCGAGCTGAACTGTACATAGGGCAGATAAACATAACATGATGTAAAGATTCAGATGTTTTCATTTCACAAGCACACATTGAAGGGACTTGGCCCTTAGTGAATCTATGTCTCAGCACGTTTGTTGGAAAAACATTGAACCTGGCTCTAATGAAGGCATATCGGTGAGATGCGGCTATAAGCGATGTTAAGTAGGACGGAGCACGATAGATAGGGGTTATGCCGAGATTTAACGGGGAGCAGGCTCCACCACCAGCTAAGAAATTTTGGTATAGCTCCACATCATCCAGCCTTTGATTTATACACCTTTTTGCCGCGTTTAGATCCAGTTTGAGCAATTCCGTGGGCGAGATCTCATAGGACAGCAATTTGGCATGGATTTTTCCTGACCACAAATTTGTGAAGTCATCCCGCCACATGCATTGAATGAGATAATGGTTCGGTAGTTTATGCCATAGGGATATCCAATAAATCAAAACTCTCCTCCATAAAACTAACTCCACTGAGGGGATCTTCATTTCTAAGCGAATAGCCGCATTACTTACGCATGTTGGTAGTTTTAGAAGTCGGCGTAAGAATTGGCTTTGAAGCGACTCTAAAGGTGAGAGGTTTGCAAAAGCAGCCCATAAAGGTGCAGCATAGGCCATTGTGGCCATCACTTTAATGCTATACACTTTCAAGGCCGCAGGGATGAATAAGGCCCCTCAGAGTAGAAAAACGGAGGAGGGAGTGTGATAGGGCTTTTGTCTTGTTTTGAAGATATTCAACGTGCGCTTTCCACCCTAGATTATATTGAAAATAAATTCCTAAATATTTAAATTTGTGTACTTGTTCGATTTTCGTGCCCTCCAATTTCCATGAATATAATTTTCGACTCCTTGAAAATATCAGTACTTTGGACTTGGTGTGGTTGATAGACAGATGATTAGAACGGCAATATGATGCAAAAATCTTTAGTGCCCTCCTTAAACCCACTCTGGAGTAAGAGAGTAGTACCGCATCATCTGCGTAGAGAAGTAAAGGACAACGATAATCTGCTATACGGGGGGTGTGGATAAATTTTTGTGAGTCGATTAATGGGTTCCTCATATCACTGATAAATAAGTTAAAAAGAAGAGGCGCTAAAATACAACCCTGGCGTACACCCTTATTTACTGGCACTGGGTTAGTTAGGTCTCCAGCAGGGGATATTCTTACCCTGGCCACGGATCCGGCATGAAGTTGGGAGATAAGCCACAGGAGCCTTCTATCTATTCCCCAGCAGGCAAGTTTATCCCATAGTAATTGCCTCGGAATACTATCAAACGCAGCTTTCAAATCTATGAAGGCTGCGCAAAGTTGGCCCCGTCGAGGTGTCGAGTATTTCCGGGCTAAGTGATAAAGAATAATTGCCTGATCTGTTGTGGATCGATTTAATCTAAATCCGGCTTGCTCATGCCCAATCAGGTCAGCCTCAGCTGACCACTTCATCAGCCTTGCCAGCAAAAACGGGCATATATTTTCCCAATGGACGATAGCAGACTGATATTCCGGTAATTCCCTGGGTCACCGGGAGGGCCTTTTTTGTAGATAGGAATTATAATGGCCTCCTTCCACGTACCTGGTATTAAGCCCGTGGCATTTATTGCGTCAAACGTTTTAGCTAAAATCCCTGCCCACCATGCAGAATGTAGCTTTATAGCCTCAACAGGGACCAAATCTGGCCCAGGGGCCTTACCAGTTTTCAGCTCAGCTATCAATTCTAGGATTTCAGCAGGGTCGGTATTGTGCCAGACGGGAAGGGGATTAGAAGGTCTCCAGTGAGTGGCCGGAGCTTCTGCCACTGAGAAATATTTTCTCAGGAACTGCTCCCATGTAGGGGCCGGGATCACCGTTAAGGGGTATTTCGTGTTTCTTCCCTTAATTAAGGACCAAAATTTCCGGGAGTTATGAGATTTTGAGGCAGAAATTATAGTCTGCCAGCGATTTAAATGCCATTCCCGTTTGGCCGATTTCTGGGCCTGTTTGTATGCTTTTTTAGCCAGGGAATAAGATGGAGGTAAGGCCAGAGCGCCGGAAAGTTTATAGTCATTATATATTGTATGTAGATGGAGTCTGGCTAGTTTACAAGCAGAGTTGAACCAAGGGGCGCCAAATTTAAAATAATCGTTTTTAACTCCATAGCTTGGAGAAGTAAAAAGCGAGTTAAAACTTCTATCAGGCAAGAGAAAAATTCATACAGGTAATAGGATCACGCGGGACTATTCCTACGTCCGGCTGATCACCAAGAAACTTTTCTCGGATAAAATCCGTATATCTATGGGCGAGGGCAGGGGACCATCTAATCCCCTTTATTTTAGTGGACGGCTCCGCAATCACCGGGATTGGGTGGGAGCGCTCGAGCAGGTGCCAGTCAACACATAACTTGGTTGTCAGGGGAAGATGGTCACTAAATTGGGCATTATCAATTTTAAAAGAGGTGACATTCAAAAATAGATCCCGGGAAACCAATACATAGTCAAGAACACTGTTTGATTTTAACCCCAGATGGGTGAACTCTCCTGGTATATCTGGAGGACACCTGCCATTTAATATAATTAAATTAAGGCGTAAAGCCATCTGGTAAAGCATCACTCCCGCCTTATTGACTTTTACATCCTTTGATATTCTAGTGGGGATATATACTAGATCGTAGGTTTGAGCGCCGGGGTCGACCCACCATTTAGACTTTATAAGAGCCTCCCGATTTGAGGCTATCCGAGCGTTAAAATCGCCTCCGGTAATGGAGGGGACATTAGGATATTTAAGATAACAAGAAAGTAAAAATCCTCTAGGGATTCCCATCTAGAAATAAGATCAGCTGCTAACCCTCCCGGGGGGAAATAGACATTTGTAACCAATAAAGAGAAGTTTCCACCAGAGATCAGTCCGGTAATAGCATAAGGCGGAAATGCGTGCACTAGTGAAAGTTTAGCCCGAAGTTTAAGGGAGATACCAATTGTAAGGCCACCTTTAGGGCGGCCACCATTCGTTGACGGGCTAGCAGGCAGACATATAAACTCAAAGCCATTTAACTCAATTTCCTCCTCCACCCAAGTTTCTTGTAATAGTATGATAAAAAGGAATTAATATATTTTTGGAATTCTGGATCTGATTTTTACTTTTCCATCCAGCAATGTTCCAACTTAATATTGAAGGCTGGGGTTTCCTCGTTCCTCCAATTGACTGTCATTCGGAAGGTTGGCTCAACTTTAATACGGGAAGAGGGGAGCCAATAAAAAAATCAGTTATCTTCCTCTGATGAAAAACCTCTCGTAAAAGCTGAGTGGGAGGATTTACAAGGTTGTCTGTCTGTTGAACTTGGCCACTCGATCTACTAGGAGTAGGACCTTGAGCAGGGGCGGCCCCTTTTCCAAAAGAGTTTGGTGGGCCACCCGGTGTGGTCCATCTATCTCGTCAGAAGTTTGGGCTCTCTGTGGTCTGCTACTGGTCTTTTGGGCTACTTGATTTATGTGGCCTGTTGGATCTTCAATCAGTTCCGTCACAGGTCTTGCTGTTGAATCCATAGTACTCCGCAAAGAGGAATAAGGCTGGGCGAGTGGGCTATTTGGGAAGATTAGCAAAGGCACCTCTTCTCTTGATTGGTCAGTGCTATAAGAAGGTTCCAGGTCTGGCATCGATGAATGTGTAGAAGGGGATTTTTCCTGTTGTGTGCTGCTTTCTTCAGGTATGTTTATCAAGGGACGGTCATGTAAATCTATTAAGAGCACGGAGGGTTGTTCTGGTTGGAGGGAAGGACTGGTAGTTGCTTCTTGGGGTTGTATCTTATCCTCCATTACCGACATACATTTAGCATTAGATATTGCGATATCCATATGAACTGGTTCTTCTAGGATGTCATGCTCGCTGTACATAGGTATTCTGGTGCTGAGCTTCCTGATAAGTTGGGTTTTAAGCGATTCGAGTCTATTAATAATTTCTTTTTGTTCCACCGCTGGTAAATCTGCAAAGGAGGCAATGAGTTCGATCTCTTCTGGTGGTGTCAGGCCACTTTCCGGATGGTCATTGTTCTTTGCTAGGGAGTGGAGGCCACATGACTCATCTCCTGGAGGAGAACACCCACTCCGGTGGCCACTGGTGGATCGGGTTTAGCAGATTTTAAGCCCTCTTTGGTTATTGCCTCCAACAGTAGGGGTTTAGGCGTAGGGTCTATAAAGGCTCTCGTTGGTGCTATACCACAGCGAAACAAAAAGCTTTCCTTCGTAATATGATAGTGGGAATTTTTGTGGATTGGAACGCAAGCAGGACTCTCTGTGATGTATGATGATAGACAAGGGGAGGACTGCACAGAGGTCAATCTGTGTTGCCTCCATATTTAAAAGCACCATTAGGAGTTCCTTGGCACCGCCCAGAGTTCTCCATCTTGGGTCCCCATTTTGTATAGTTAGGCACACTTTCCTTGGTGTTAAAATCAAGGATTGATGACCTAATTGAAGGTTAAGGTTGTATTTAAATTTGTCAGTACGTTTGTTATTTAAGGACAGACTCCTCGTCCCCTTCCTCTCTTCGAGAGACTTAACACCGGCTAACGCTGGAGAGGTAGTAACTAGCTTTTGTTGGAGGCTGTGCAGCTGGGACGAAAGATCATCTAGTCTTTTGAATATACAGTGCAAAGTTTTGATTATTAAATGGGACTGTTCAAATGTCATATAATTGGCTGTGCCAAGGACCAGTTCCTCCTTCTGAGGAGAGGCTACACTCTTACTGTTGCCCACATTGCTTGTTAATTGAGGTATTATTCGCTCTTCGTCTTTAAGTGCTGACACGCAATCAATCAGAGGGTTAAATCGGTTCTGAGTTTCTACCGTGTAGGAACAATCCAGTAGATTACTCCCTTCCTTAAAGTGACATGGTTCCACCCTTGTTTGCTTTGATCTCGGAAAGGGAATGGGGACTGTCTCCTCCGAATCTCTAAGACGTTTCCCATATCCCATAATTCAGATATCGAGTAGAGGGGGGATAGTATTTTAACGTCAACTAAATATTTCCTTCAAGCCTGCCAGCACTTGCAGTGGGGGTATATTTCACTGCCTGTTCATATGTAAGTCGGCGTCTTCACCTTCACCCTCACAGTCCGGCAATTTAGTTCGACAAGGAGACTACCGATAAGCAACACAGACCATTCCTTTGAAGTCCTACTCCCACCAGGACTAAGACTAATATAAAATTCTCCTTCGGAGCTTATCACAGGGCCCACCGTGGGTCGGTCTCAGATAAAAGGGAACTCCCGAAGGCCTCACCAGATCCCAGAGAGAGAGGAGACTCCAAGAAGGCAGCGTAAGGATCCACCCCGATGCTTCAGTTTCAGCCGCTCCTTGTTTCTCGGCGTTTTCCTCCCCCTCCTCCTTTTTCTAGACTTTTAACTTGAGCTTTTAACTCAAGCCTTGAATATATTAGTTAAAAACAGCTGCCAAATGGTGTAGATAAAATACTAAGGCTGATAAAAGCCGAATAAAAACTGATAAAACCAATAAAAACTAATAAAAACCGCACAACTGCTGCGGAGCTCAAGTCAGTGCCTCC